ATCTCTCGTGTCTGGTGGGGACTCCCGTATGCGTGGACGGCAAATATAGGTGTCCGGATATCCTATTACTTTCTATAAAACCGACTATGTACAAACCCTAAGCCCCTCCGGTGTCTATATAAACCGAAGGGTAGATCGGAGGCAGGATCACAACATTGCTAGGCTAGCTATCTAGGGTTAGCCAAATCGATCTCGTGGTGGATCGACTCTTGTAACCCCTATACCCTCGAATATAATCAAGCAGGAGTACGGTTTTACCTCCATTAAGAGGGCTCGAACCTAGGTAAACACTGTGTCCCTTCTCCTTTGTTACTATTGATCCTCAGACGCTCAGCTTGGGCCCCCCTACTAGATATCTGCCGGTTTTGACACCGACATTGGTGCTTTCATTGAGAGCTCCGCTGTGTCATTGAAAGAAGGATTGATGGCTCACCTCTTCATCAATGGTGACACTGTGTCCAGGGAGACTTTTCTTCCTAGACAAGTTTTTGTGTTTTGTGGCTTTGTGCTTCGAGCCAACTCGACCGACCGCCTCGAGCAGGTCGATAGTTACGCCCCTGGCCACCAGATCAGGTTTGGAAACCTGAATTACATTGCTGACATCCGAGCAGACTTGGTCTTTGATGGGTTTGCTGCCTCGGCCGCCACTCTGCGTCCCATCCAAGAAGACTCTTGGGATCCCCTATCGGATCTCGTCCAGGGGTCAACACCAGCACTCACCTCGGCCTTAGATCCGGGGCAGGTTTCATCGTCTGAAGACAGGAGCGTAAGCCCCGCCGGACTATTTCCCCTTATCGAACTTCCTACCGAAGACCCAGACGCAGGCTTAAACCTGGCTCTAGGCAACCGTTCCGAACTGCCGAGGTCTACACTTAGCGGACCCGATCACGCGCTCCAAGCCGAACACATTGCGATGGACCCGCGGTTCTCGCTCCCGCTCTTAGACGAAACGTTGGGTCTGATGAAGTCTCTCGCCATCACGAAGGCTTTACCTCCAAACTGAACCCAACCTGGACTAGGGGCTAAGAGAGGGGAGTTTTATGCCCCACCCATCACCCACTTAATAGCCACTGTCGAGGACTTAACTGACATGCTAGATTATGCGTCCGAAGACATTGACGACATGGACAACAATGCTGACGCCGAACCATGCCAAGTCCCACCCGTCACGGGGCGTTGGATGGCCACCTCAACCTACGATGTGTACATCATGGACACTCCGAAGAACGACGAGGAGAACCCAAGCCCAGATGAGGATAGACCTGTCGATAAGCCACCAAAGCACCGACGTCAGCGGCATCGCTCACAATCGCGTCGGGCAAAGGATAGTAATACCGGCACCGGATACAATGAGACTCCGGAAGGCGCCTAAGATGTCGAACACCTTATCGAGCCCACATCAGAACATGATGAGTGGGAAGAAGGTGAACACAGCCCTGGACGCGCTGACAACGAAGATGCGGAGGACAACAACTACATGCAAAATCCGAAGAGGAGGTTAGCCTCGGTGACGAAGACTTCATCGTCCCAGAAGAACCCCTCGACCAAGAACGCTTTAGGCGGCAGCTCATTGCCACAGCTCGGAGCCTGACGAGGAAGCAGTGGTAGCTCAAAGAAGAGCAAGACACAATGAATGAGAGGTGGACTAAGGTCCTGGCCGCTGAGGAATACGGCCAAAATGACCTGTCAAAAGTTACCCTAGGCGTAAGCTGCTGCCTCAATTCGACAACGAAGTCCTTGAACGAATACCGTCAAAATACAATCAGGCAGATCAACCGGACCGACCACCACGTGGACGGGATAAAATGGCATACCAAGACAAATACCACCCCCACCCCCTCGCCGAAGAGGCAGGGAGACTGCAGCCATGGGATATACATACGATTTGCAACGTGACATAGCCATTAAAGCTGGCCAGACCAGATCAATCTACGGCTCAAAGGGCCAAGTGCCAGCACAAGATAATGGCTATAAAGCCCGACATGACGACCGTTACTATGTTCGGGATCAGTACCAAACTCAGATGTCCGCCGATCTCCGCCGTGACATTGCGCGATATAGAGGGGCCGCACACCCCCTATGCTTCACTGATGAGGTTATGGAACAATAGTTTCTGGAAGGGTTTAAACCCATAAACATCGAACTATACGATGGAACGACGGATCCGGCCGTCTGGATTGAAGATTTCCTCGTCCACATTCATCCTACTCCTTCCCCTAGTTTGCTTGGCTCTGACCCAGTTTCAATGTGTCCTCCGCCTTGTTGGACCCGTCTCTACTTCTTCTACTTATGGGACAAAACCCTAATCCGGTCGTCAGCTTGTGAGATGGTGCGCTCGTCTATGAGCTTAGTGGGCTCTGCACAGGGTGGTGGCCGTGTCCAAGGGTTGGATACTGCTTGCTATCCTTTCCCCTCTCCCTTTTGGGCTTCGGCTCGTTTCTCCTGTGAGTGGCCCAGAGCAGCCAGTTGGTCCATGTTGTGGGTATATGTGGCCCCGTTGAGGTTGTGTCAACCTAATCCTAGGGTTTTTTTGTTTCCTGCACTAAGATTTACAAGATCAGATCAGGTCACCTCCTTCCTCGTTCCATCCAAATCCTTCCACCCCCACCTCTGACCCGCTCCTTTGCTGAGGTGCTGAAGATGGGCTCGTTGGGCGACCGCAACACCAACGGCAAGAGGCAGCTTCATGGATCTAGTGAGGCCACTTGTGGACTCCTGGCGCCTGAGGCTGAGTTGAGGGCTAAGTTGCAGCATGGGCAGGAGGCACACCGCCGGTTTGGTTTCTAGAAGAAGAGTGGTGTAAGGAGTAGCGCGCACATCAGGAGGAAAGGATGGCGGCAGCTTGCTCCTCTTCCCCCATCCCATCTCAATGGGTGGGCTCAGATTCCTCTGCCCTAGATACTTGGGAGGCAACAGCGTCGGGCACCGTGCCCCCTCCCCCATGCTCATGCTCCTCGTCCGACTGCGGCTGCTACTCTACTCGCTCCTCCTTCTAGTGTTTATGGGTTCCAAGGGCAGTTCCGTCCCAACTCCCTCCCTAGTGGCTTCCACAATGCCCTCCCAACAATCGGCCAAACAAGTTCAGGAAATTTTGGTTGAATGACAATTCTGATGGCTCTAATGATGGAGTCCTCACCCACCCCTGCCAATCTCTGGATATGCGCCACCGGTGGGTAGCTCTGGTAAATAGCTCGGGTCATCCTTCTTTCACATGTTTTCCATGTCATAGGCCGGGCCACTCTGAATCCCGCTGTATGTTTCCTCCTTTTTTGCCTGATTTGCTGTGTCGAAGGCCACCTCATAGTGGGTTGTACTAATCGCTCCAAACCTCCTTCAATTAAGCACTATAGTCTAGGCCTGCCAGGTTATGCGTTTTTGGTTTGGATGGTGGTTTGGACGTGGTTGTGGTTGCGCCTCAGACATCTAACGTTGCCATCATCTTGGTCCAATCTGCTATGTGACCCTGCAGACAATTGCGGATGAGCTAAGGGAATGGGGTCCGGAT